CATCCGCGACCTCGAGGCGACACGCGGGTTAGGTGGTGTATTTAGGAAAAAGAAGCGTTAGAGTCAATAGATAGATAGGTAGGTAGTCAATAGTTAGTGGGTTCGTTAGTTTGATAGGTGTGAATAGTTGTCATGGCAATAGAAGGAACTACGAAGAGCAACTTTCACGCGACCAACTTGCAACCGACTTCTAAATACGGTCTACCGCCAACGGCTAGCGAACTCATGACGTGCGGCGTCGCGCTGCTGTTGCATGCTTTTACCTGCGGCTACATGCTCTGCTTTAGCGCCACGTATGGCATCATGCCGCCCGACGAGGCCAAGGTGCTTCGCATCTGGTCGCCGGGCGTCTGTGCTGGCGTCTGCGGCCTACTCGCCCTCTTGCACGCCCACGGCGTCGCCATGATAGTGTACCGGCAATCCCGTCGCGTCGCGCCAAGCCCCAAGCCCCGTCGGCCGTCGACGCTTGCCCTCTACGCACAGCTCTTTGCACACGACGGCGCCTTTGGTATCCATGGCCGCCAGTACGAGGTGCGACTTGTGGTCAAGCAAGCGCTGCAGCTCCCATTGCAGGCTTACCGCGCGTACCGCCTCAGCGCGCTCCTCGTGCATCCGGGCTACAGCGTCGCCTTTGCGTCGACACTCGCGATCAACTGCATTGCACTGCCGGGCTGGATGTGGCGCGGGCACTGGCAACGCAGCCGGCGCTGGGGCGCCTCCATCGTCGACGTTGTCGCGAGCTTTCTCCTTGGTGTTGGCTTGCCGCTGCTCATTGTCGGCAATGCAATCGTCGCCTTCTTCTTCTCGTCGCAGCGTGACGCGCTCATTTATGACCACAAGTGGCTCAACACGTTCATCCTGATTGGCCGCTACGTTGCGATAACGTCCGCCGCTGACCTTATGGTCTACACGATATTGAACGTCGCTTTCTGGACAGCGCTCCAGACGCTGGCGATGGCCTCGAGCCGGTACAGCACTTTGCATTTCTTGATTTTCAATTGCAACGACCAAGTGGACTTAGGTCGCTCATGGTATCTGTACCAACCGAGATGACAACGCACTGGCTGCGGCTGCCGTACACCATCTACTCGGTCGGACTCGGTATCCTTGTGCTTGGCGCTAGTATCTCGTCCATCGTCGCTCGGGCGACATGCGACGCAGGGTGTGAGCTGCAGACGTACCCGTGGTTCTCGACAGACTGCCACTGCATCATGTACACACTCACTTGCAACCAAACAACAAACGTCAGCAGCAGCGACAACATTCATGCGTTGCTAGCAACGAACTTTACCGATGTCTTTGACTTGACCATCCGAGAGTGCCGGCTCCCCCACGGCCTCAATGCGTCACTCCTGGATACGTTTACGCAGCTCTACTCGCTGCGGCTCTGGCGCACGAGCACAGTCGAGTGGGACGCGCCGACGCTACCATCGTCGGTCTGCGCCGTGTACTTGCAAGATCTGCCGTTGCAGGCGGTGCCACGGCTGCTGTGGCCGCCCACAACCGGTCTCCAGTACATATTTTTGCGCAATGCATCTCTGTCGATGAACCAGACACTTCCGCTTTGGACCACTCTCACGCAGCTCGACGTCTCGGGTGCTCAACTGGGCGCTATACCGGACCACATCTGGTCGCTTCCGATCACAACGCTGAGCTGGAACAGCAATGCGTTAACGGCATTGCCGCTGCAGCTGTTCAATGTGCCCACACTCGGCTCCGTGTACCTCTTCAACAACTCGATCACCGAGCTGCCACCAATGTTGGCGACCACCTTCTGGCCCAAGGGCCTCCAAAGCATCTACCTTAACGGAAATCCGCTGACCACTTTGCCGTCGACACTGCCCTTTGAGTGGCTCAACTCGTCGCGGCTCGTGATTCGGGATACGCTGTTTTGCACTCGCCTCGCGGGCCGACCGCCGACGAACACGCTCGAAGTCAATATTGTGGCCAATATGGAGGCGATCTGTGGCCACGACTGCGGCGTCGGCTGCCTCGGACGGCTCGTTGGCAACACCGAGTGCGACAACCAGTGCAACACCCCGGCGTGTGCTTTTGACGGCGGCGACTGCGACATGTGAGCGCCGGCAACGACAAGGGTTAGGGCTGCGGCGCAGTTCTTATAGTCAAGATCGCGGCGATGAGATCGGTCAGCCGAACCCAATCTCCGTCGAATGTATATCTATCTATCTATCTATCTATCTATCTATCTATCTATCTATCTATCTATCTATCTATCTATCTATCTATCTATCTATCTATCTATCTATCTAT